TAGCACTGACTTAACTGGCTGAGTTTAGGATCCGGTAATCCACCCCGCTGACGACCAGCCGCTCGCTGCACTTATTAATAAAGCTGGTTTGAAAATCGTCCTGCATATTGAGTCCCAGGTTCTCAGGTCATTACAGATTCTTAGTTATTCTATTTATTTATTTAGCATTTAATTGTTTTCTTTTGGCCTCAGTGGTCTGGTGAGTTTCCCTTATCTTTGCTGAGGAGCCAATCAACTGACTGCTGTAGAGCTTCAACAGGAAGTGTTTAAAAGGTGAGTGTGAAGTGTGTGAAAGTCACACCTGTTAAAGTAGAAGAACCATCTGGAAGCCATGAAGCTCTGCTGTTTTCTGCTCCTTCTTGTTTTAGGTGAGTAAAAAGTATTTGTGTCCTAATTAGTTTCTACTGCTATAAACAGATAAAGGATTTTATTGGCTGCTGTTTTTTCTCTGTCAGAGTCACGTTAAAAGGACAAAGAAGTTCAAAGAAAAACTGATCTTAAATAGAATTAGTGCTTCGGCTGAAATATAATTCACATTCTGCTTACGTTGCACATGCCTTTATGATCAAATACATTTTTATCAATGTGAGGCAATTATCAAAATGGGAAAGAAAAAAAAAGTCTGACATCCTTTAACTGTCTTTATGTAAAAAGGATGAATTTAAAACAAAAAAATGTTTTGGAATAAACCTGATGCAGGATGTCAACATAAACAGGTTTCAAACATGGAAACCATCTGGTAAAAGGTTTTAACCGATTCATAGAGGTGTCTGTTTAACAGTCTGTCTGACTCATGATGCAACTTTATTGATCTTCTACTTAGATTAAAAAATCTGTCTCAGTTTGACTTAATTTATACAGGTTCTCATAAACAATGAAAGGATGCACCAAAGCAACTTTTCATTCGCTTTACGCTTTTTTTTCCCTTTCTCCTGTGTTGGTTTTATGAGGATGAGGTGTTTTTGTTGCTGCAGCTCTTTATTGAGCGCAGCTTCAAAGCTGAACAGCTGCCTCTGTGGTTCTGACTGTAATGGTGCTTGTGTGCACAGGCCTTTCTCAGGAAGATGGCCTTTTGACCCAGAATCCCGGGGATCAGGAGGAGGACTCGTCTCCAAAACCAGAAGTGGGTCTCTCTGGAGATGCTGAGGTGAGTTTTCTCTTTTAGGATCAACATCTGCTGTTTTCCCTCACATGGAGTTTCTTCCTCACTCCGTCTGGATTTAAGTGAAATCTTTTTTTTCTGAGGCTACAGTTTTAGATTTTAATTAAATTAAGTTTATTTATTCAGTTCACAAGATCATCCAGTCAGATTGATTCAAAGTTTTCTATCTAAGGAAAACCAGTTGATTGCTTCGACTCCTTGACT